TTAGATTTGGCAGTGGTTCAAGTACAGTCTTTAAGTAACTAATGAATAACCTGTTGAATGGTTAGATTTGGCAGTGGTTGAAGTACAGTATTTAAGTAACTAATGAATAACCTGTTGAATGGTTAGATTTGGCAGTGGTTGAAGTACAGTCTTACTTAAACTAATGAATAACCTGTTGAATGGTTAGATTTGGCAGTGGTTGAAGTACAGTCTTTAAGTAACTAATGAATAACCTGTTGAATGGTTAGATGGTGGTTGAAGTACAGTCTTTAAGTAACTAATGAATAACCTGTTGAATGGTTAGATGGCTGAAGTATAGTTTTTAAGTAACTAATGAATACATTTGGGCTTCTTCAGGGCAGAAATAGAGCAAACTTAAGAACCTGTGTAAGGTTTCCGAGGAGTGTTAGCAGAATGTACGCTGGCCTAGAAAAGATGAGGCAAGTAAGACTTCACTAAAACCCGAGGTGTGACATCCTGACGTCTATATAAGCATGACAATTATCCATTTTAACCTTCGCCAACTGATATAAAACAGTAATCGAAATGATAAAACTAATCTTATTTACAACTATTTTGTTTAGTCCTTTTGTTGGTGTAGGTCAACGACCATGGGCGCCCACAGAAATACTTTCGGGGGGGGGGAAGGGCCATGTGTGCTTAAACAAAATCACAAATTTACAGTTTTAATAAAGATTACTAAAGATATCTAATTTAACCACGATGTTAAGTTGACATCATAATATGTGCAATTTTTGCTTCCTCTTGCCCCTTCTCGACAGCTTCCACGTCAACGACATATTACAAGCAAAGAGATTTCTTTAATGTCTGTTTTGTAAGTAATACAATGGCACTTCATTGTTTTATCTAAGTCCACAAACAAACTTCTACTGCAAGTGGACACCTGGTTATCAATGAAAGTCGGCATGACTCGGTCCACCAAGAAGTTCTGAGAACAATACAAATACATAGTTTAAGGTACTTCTATGAAAATAAGTTTTTCTCGTTCTAGTTAACATACAAACAAACCACACATCAGTTTGAAACGAGTGTTGTTTGCTATATACTAGCCATAGTTGACATACAAACAAACCACACATCAGTTTGAAACGAGTTTTGTTTGCTATATACTAGCCATAGTTAACATACAAACAAACCACACATCAGTTT